TATTTTTAATATGTTACTAATATTTAGTTTAATTTTTTTCTCATCATTTATTATTTAAATTAATGATGGTTATAAAATTGACGTGAGGCTGTATTAAAATTTTCAACTAGTCGGCCATGCCTAATCTTTGCCGTACTCTCTTATTTTTAATTAAATCGTACCTTGCATTAAATTAATTGAGAAATAAGGTACTGTATAGTACAAACGGTTTTTCGCTAAACTAGGAAACCATCAAAATCTGCTCATGAATAGATTAAGTGCATACTCATTCACTACCCAAAACTCTTCACAGTAGACTCAAAAGAAAGCGTGTTATATTGATTTGATTTTTTTTTTACCGTATAAATCCCAAACTTTAAGTGTCACTAATGGTTGGATTTTCAATCATGTAACTTCAATTTAGAATTCTCTCTCCCAGAAAAAAACTGTACAGCAACATATGTAATTAAAACAAAAATAATAAAATTATAAAAAAACAATTTACTATAAAAAGGGATTGAGAATAGTACTAAAATTTTGAATATACACCTATGTTTTAAAATGTATAAATGTATATGCTGACATTACAATTACTAAGTATTGTTAGGACAAATGAAAAAATCATAATAATATATAACCGTACAGAGAAATTATAATAAACACAAAGGAAAATGCATAATATCGTGCAAGAATTTAAATGTGACACCAACTCCAAGCATGTGCACGATTTCAACGCGATTTCCGAATATCGCATATCTATCATTACAAGTTGCAACGGGATATAAGATAATAATACTATATAATGTACCTATAATATATATATATATATATATATATATATATATATATTTGGGCGTAAGTCTAATTCCCTAGCGCACGTGGAATGCATAGCAACGCATTCTTTAGTGGACTTAGATAATCAAGAATCGCACGGTGCGTGAACACCGATAGGAATAGCTATAACATTAGCGACGATATCACGGTAGAAGCGACGAATGATAATAAAATATAATTTTCTGCCTGATATAACTATATTGTATCCACAACTGCTTCATAATAGACAGTTTTTTCTAAAATATAGTAACGCCTATAAGATATAATACGCTCATCGCCGTTATTACTCATAAAAATGTTTGTAATATTCAGATTAAAATTATTAATTTATTATGTCAGAAATGAAACATTAACATTAAAATGAAGTTAGAAATTCTGAAAACTCATAATTTAAGTTAACAAATAATATAATAACAGTAAGGAATAATAAAATCTACATACAAGTACGTCATAAACATTTTCTAGACGAATTTCGAGGGAAATAATGTTGTTTAAGATATATTTCAATGTGATTTTAAAACCATTATTAGTGTTAATAGCTTTATAACTGTTACCAAAAATACATAAATCATAGTTAATAATTTACTAATAATTTGCTTAAATACATTTTATGTGATTATAACTTATAATCGCTTATTTCAATTTTAATTTTAAAACTAATATTAACATTTAAAAACAACTTATACAATCAATCATGAATATACAAACTCATCAAAGAAATTTATGTAAGTATATTTCCATACAAATTTCAAATATTATACGAAAAAAAATTATTAAGTATAATTTATACTATAAATTATAAATATCTATACTATAAAATTTATAGTATAGATATTATTTATTATTATCACTATTAATTTTTAATTATTTAGAAAAATTAAATAAAAATTTATTTTACAGACAGTTTATTAATATTGTATTAGGCGTCATATATATATTTTATCATTATAATATTATAAGCACTGACAAAATTTGATAAAGTAATAAATTATGCTATGCCGAACCATATTATTTTCTAACTTCTCCATGAGCAGTTATAGATGTGATTTATTTATTCTATGGTTGGATAATCCATTGATGCCATTTCATTAACAAATTTTTTACCAAAATAAAATATAGCACAAAAAAATGCAATAATACAGTTTACATAAATTACAATAATTAATCAAATAACTTGGTAATAATTATATGTAATATAACTAAATTGAATACTATACAATTTTACTATAAATTAAAGGTATTGTAAAATCATTTCAAAATCACGGCAAAAAATTATTCAACACTCGAAAGCTCTATAACTAAATCAAGCAATCAAGTACCATTGACCTATTTTATGGATAGTTTTTGTCAACTACAACTTATTATCAAAATTCAAAGGACGATAGCAATCGAGAAATCATTAAAAAGTATCGAATAAATTATCCAAACCTTTTAAAAAACCAATTCAAGACAACCATGTACGGTGGCAACATGACTGAATCTTATCTTGGTTCATTCAAAATAGATACTAAACAAGTAAGAATTGTATAAATAATGACTTCAACTCATTTTAAAAACTTCAGACTCGTTGAGAAAAATGCTCATTATTCTCAATCAAAATTAACATTTTACAGCACTAAAACATGTTTTAACTTGAATAATTTTACTACAATTTATGGTATACGATCCGGTAAAATTAGAAAATTAATAATAAGTATTTTATCTTTAAAAAAAAAAAAAAAACAATTTGAAAAATTACAACATTTAAAAATTACAATTTGTGTTTATCTAGTACTTAATTGAAAATTTGGTCATCATAGGATCTGAAATAACGGATAGTATATATAATATATTATAATATAAAGCTGCATTATTTACTCTTATCAATAAAATAATTTTCAGTATTTACTAGTATAATATATTTCTATGTCCATAGCATTTTTTTAAATTGAGATAATACAGTCTTTCATGGTCAATTTATAGCTTACACGAAAATATTTACTGAATAAACATTATATCACAAATTACATTTACACAAGAAATATTTACCATGTTTAAACTATGAAAAGTTATTTAAAGTAATAAAAGAACACATTTGTTTAAATAAAAATATTGATATCTATTGTTTTTCCAAAAAAGGGTGTAGTAAACATACGTTTCACTTTTTGAGGAATACTATGATTTAATGTATTTGAGTGGAACATACTCCCTTGAATTTTTGAAATATCTTATGAAAAGATGCTTTGAACCCACAAATACATAATACCTATGTAGATTGCTAATAATGTACCAATTATTTTTTTCAATTCTAATTTTTGTTTCATTGAATCATTTAATATTTGTGTAAACAAAATTTGTTCTAGTTATATTTATTATTTTATACGTAACTCACTATAATACTTATTTTATTTGTTTTATATTCATATTCCTGTGTACATAATATAAAATTTTCTTGTAATTAAATTTTTACCTATAAATAAATAGATATATACAAAAACATAATTTTTCAGTTAAATAATTGAAACAAAAATTAGTATAAAATTATAGCTAAACGCTTAGCAATAAATATTTTGTGTATGACGATTTAATAAAAAAATAACAAAAATATATATATATATATATATATATATATATATTATTTATTGTGAATTAATAACACTTTATGTTTTAAATTAAAATTGTGTCTTCTTTATGTTAAATCATATACGTATAGGTACTCTAATTTGTTACATTATACACAGCAATTTTTAAATATAGGATTAAAATTAATTATCATAATAAATACTTGGTATTTTTAAATTAAAACATTAAAAATACAATACGAATTCAAAATAATAAAATTTTTTGTTCCTTCCTAATGCGATATTTTTTAACCAGTTTTAAGTTTCTATATTATGTACAACCTTATGTGTGTATTTTTATACCTTCTTTGTTCGTCATGACTTTAGTTACTATGGTTACCAATACCAATTCTATTCACGAAAAATGCTTTTTAGTGAACTATTTCCTCAATATTACTTATAATGTATATTATTATTTCTATTAATATTTAGATTTTTATTCCCTAAATATTTTTTTATTGTTTTATTTAATTTGTTGAGTTATTAGTTAATTGAATCAAAGACATATGAACGAATAAAAATATTGAGAAATTCGCTTTACTAGTTTTGAGTGTTCCTTTTCACTGAATAGGTATAGGACGTCATAATAGTAATGTATGTGTTAAATTTGAATTCAATAATAAATCAATATACTTGTAAAAATAAATTTAAAAAAATATTTTTTGTGAACAATTCGAATAAATCAGAATCTATTTAAAAAAATAGTTTATATTATATTTGATTTGTATTAATAAAATTGTTTTCTTATTTAGGATCAACTAATTTATGACAAAATAAAATAAAATAATCAAAAAAATGTTAAAAACTTAAAATACTTATTAATAGCTAAATAAAAAGACAAAATATTTTAATATTTACATATTGCCTAAAAAATATTTCTTTTATACAAATTTCAAGTCTATGATATTTATTTCTAAACTATGGTAAAAAAAAACAAAATTAATAATATTACCAATTTCCTGTTTCTTTTTTCTTTTCAACCATCAAGAAAAATGTATTAAACATTTTCTTCTTTTGATCACCAAAAGTACCAAAATATACACAGTTTTTTTTTTCCTGATAGTAACTTCAATGTTTATGATTGAAGACAATTTTCTGCTCACAAAAATTATTTATAAATATGAATAAGTTATAAAAAAACACACATTATTGTGAAACCAATACACTTCTCGTTCCATACAAAACCCATGAAAAACCATATTTATTTATATAACTTATTTAAAAATTTAAGTGAATTGTTTAAGAATAATGAAAGAAGGGAATACAGAAGAAATATAGAAAAATAAAAGCTTTTGAGCAAGATAATATATGTTTTAAAAATGTGTTATTCATTTTATGTTATTTGACAAAGAATCTATAAGAATAATTACGTAATTACTATTTTAGAATAGAGAAAATAATTTAAAGTAGTTTATTTTTATTTGTTTACTGAATACATTTTGGCATAGAACATTTAAAATTTTTAATAACTCGGACGATTCTCTTCAAAAAATAATATTAAATACGTATAAACAAATACATTCAAAAATTGCTTTTTTTTACAAAATAAAATAACTAAATTATTTTAATTTTTTTTTTTTTTTTTACCTGAGGTATCTTGAAAAGTCTTAGTAAATTTGCTACTTGAACAGATGTAACACTTGAAGCCGCACCAACTACACCAGATATTACTTTTCTTACTTGTGACTTGTTGCAATGAAAATATTGAGTTTCATCTATATTGCTAATAGAACCTAAAAATAAAAAAAAAAAACCATACAGTTAAATACATTAAAAAAATTACTAAGAAAAAAAAGGTTATTAAATATCTTATTAGTCTTAAAATTGTATCAAACTAAATTTAAATTATAAAAATAAAAATATTGTTATCATTAAATTTTAATATAATTTATCAAAAATTAAATTTAAAACAAATTATATACACAGAAATGTATAGGTGTAAAATATGAAAAAAAATATAGTCACAAGATACAAAATACACAAGATCAATCATATATCATATTTTAAATAATACATTTAATTATAATATAAATATTTTATTTTAGAGATAATTAATGTGCTTACTTTTTTCAATTTTTATAATTAATTTAATTAAAACCACTTTATTTTAAAACAAAATATTTTATTTCAAATAATGAAAATAATACCAACAATTTGTTATTAATAGATAATCAAATAAAGTTTAGACGTGCTATCATATTGTTTAAAATATACAATGAATCTAGATAAGTGACTATAAAACGCAGTATGTACCTATATTATTCACATTGTCTTAACATAAAACAATATATTTTTATTACATTTTATACACACAAAATTACTATATTTATGTACATAATAAATTTATTTTGAATTGGTTTTTAACGTTTATATATTTTTTTAAACTATAAAAACACATTTTTTTTTAATTTTAATTATACATTAGGGATGCATGATCATAAATAAATAATAAAGAATTCTATGCCTTTTGAATTAAAAAAAAAAAAAAAAACCAATGTAGAAAATATAAATTTTAAATAATTATTATATTTATGTATGGAATTACAAAATAACGTGCATTAATATTAACTATTCTGTTGATATACATGATTTTGTTATACCTTCTTAATTTATGAATCTAAAACAGGCGTTTTAGATAAAATATTATTTTCTAAAAATACCTATTGTAATATTAAAATCGATTTATTTGATCTGTAAAATATTTCCTTTTAGATTTTATTATGTTTATTTGAAATTAATTACTAATAATTATAACTCCCAAACTTCAACATATGCTACATAGCTTATATGAGGTAGGTTAATTATGTAATCATAATTATACAAAATCTGTATTATATTTACTTGATTTTATGATAAAAATAATATTAATAATAATAAAATAAAACAACAATACAAATTAAGTTAATTTTCTTAAAATTATTTGTTCCATTCCGCTGTTTTATTTTTATAATCTTACATCACTGTATGATATTAATACATACATATGAGCTTATTCGGAAAGATTAAAAATGAAAAGGATAGAATTATTGGAGCTATTAAGAAAATAGGGCTGGATAATTGATATTTCCATTTTTATTTTTTTATTTTTTAGTGGAGTATATTTTCAATATTCACACTTAATTCTATTTTTAGAAAGTTCTGTATGACATAGTACCTATATTGTTCATATAATACATAAATGAAAATTATATTTCTTTACGCACATTATTTATTATCTGATATATTCATAAAAAATAATATTATTCATTAAAACTCATTAAACCACTTAAACACAAAACCGAATTTATAAAATATGTTTGCATTAGAACAAAACATTCACCATATGAAGCGATGTTTGGTACACCCTCTAAAATTGGTTTAATGTTTTCATTACTACCTGCAAACATAATTGCAAAATTAAAAACCGAAGAAAAACTTCAAGTTGCCGTAGAGTCAATACAGATCCTTTCTAACAACAACGAAAATAATAAAGTGATTCGTAAAATAGAACAAATTATTGAAAAATAAACAAAAACAAAACAAACATTAATTAACTAAAGCAGAAAAAAGTCATTAAATAATCTGAAAAAAAAAAAGATAGAAGTGTTCAAAACCGATTTTTCCAAGGAAATATTGGGGAGTCCATTTAAGTTAAAATTCCTGATATAGTAAGAGCACGAAGTGATCCCAGTTGTATTCTTGGTGTGATTATGCCAAGCAATGATGATATTAAATTATATATAATATCACTATTAACATTTTAAAATACCTAATTTCAGTGAAAGAAAATTTCTATGAAATCGATATGACCGAAGGAAAATTGCAACAACTATACAGCAGGAACCGATTTACGATTTGTAAAGAAAATTTTGTACAGATCAAAGACATGCCAACTAATTAAATCTCATTGTGAGAAGCAGCCCGCTCCTTTTCTAATTTAGGAAGACAGGAATATAATCTTATACTTGTACACGGGGTTACAAAACAAATAACATACTCGTATGCAAGAATGGAAAATCAGATAGGCTATGTAATTCCAAGTGTCATGTTTCTAAATCTTATGCAAATAATTAAGTCATAACTTATAATAAAACAATAATTTATAATAAAATTAAAAAATAATATAAGTTAGTTAAAAAAAAATATTGTGGTTCACAATTTCGTATTTCCCGGGCAGGACCACATTAACCGGACAATGTACACATTGCCCGTAACATACATATATATCACCAAAGAAAACATCTTAACACTATCAACTTTGTACGTATATGTATGTAATTTGTACTTAATTAAGACATTAATTACTAGGAGTCTATACTACATTTTCTCTCTTATACTTATATAACATTGCATATTTGCGTTCATAAGTACTAACATCTTGTAGTTAACTTAAGTACTACAGCAAATTGAGTTGTAATAAAACTTAAATTTTAGAACATTATCTGTTTTTAAACTTTATACGCATGCCTTTTAACAATTTTTTAATTTTTGCAGACACGTATTTTAGGGAAAGTGATGGGGATGATCGTCCTCCTCCCTAAACTCGTATTATCGACATATTATTCAATAATTAAACATTGATTTGTTATTTAAATGACGGTTATTTAATAACTTTTAAGACACAAAAAATTCAAAATCACACATACACTTATAATAAAAATTCATAAAGGAGGATTTTGACTATTTATAAAATAATTAATCATCCCCTCCCCAGACGAGGTCCCAGATACGTGCCTGAATTTTTGTGCGATTTATGAATATGTAAAATATTACAATTTAAAAATACGCATATCATGCTTTATAATTAATTGAATTAAGATTTAAAAAAACAATGTACAAGCACAGTAAATTTTCTTAGTTTTAAGTTTGATGGTAGATTACTTAATTCTAATTCTAAAGCTAACAACACGGGGTTGGTTCCACTGAACGAAAATTTACAGTATTTTGCATGGGATAGAGAAACAAAACAAATAGTATACTAATATTCTCTTAACTCACCGGATGTTACAAAATTAAAGTAGTAATCTACCAACGTTTTAAATTTATTCATTATATAATCAATATTACGAAAACCACGTAAAACACTTTTTGTATTATCTAAGACATCGGCATGTGAAAGAAGCGAATGGTGTATGCCCAAAGAAAAACGTGACAAATGAGATTCCGTATCATTTTAAGTTATTCAAAAAAAAAAAAAAAAAACACTGTTCATATTGATTAACATACATTTTACGGTAGCCAAATAATAATGATAATAATGAATAGTGTATTATTTTTATAAATTTTTACAAATATACAAGTTACAAAATTATCGCAAGTTCAACGTTTAAGAAATCCATAATTAACCTATTTATGGTTGTATTCAAACATTACCTACTCACTGTAAGTACGCTGGAACACACGTCAAAGAAGTGATAAAAAATATAACTTTATTACAATGAATTTTAATCTGGTGCTAAATAATTGCGTCCGAAAAATGATTCTGAGCAAAACTGAGTTTATATTATACGTAAAATACGCTTATAAAAGCTAATAAGCGCTAATAAAAATAATTGATGAGTAAACTTTTTTCAATAATATTAAATTGAGTAATAGTAAAATATTAAATAAGTCACTTTTTATTGAGAATGTACCTACGTCTTAAACATAACAATTTAACATTTCTTCTTCTTCAAAAAAAGAATATATAATTTTAATTATTATTATGAAAATTATACTATTCTCTGTTATTTTAACAAAGAGTGTAATTTTAGAGATTTTTCATCAAATTTTGTAAAGCAAATAACATTTTAAATTGCTCAAACGAATACATTGAAATTTCATCCTTTATAAAAGCGACAAAACGTAACTAAAAAAAATGTAAATAAACAACTGATTCCTTTTATACCATTTACTAAGTTACATTTGATAAAAAAAAAAATAAAACTAATAAATTGAGAGCAAAATAAATTAAAATAAATATGCTATAGATTCTTCAAAGTACTAGTAAATCAATTAACTTAGATGTGCTTAATCAATCACACAACATTTTACGGTTTATAATTGCATCAAATAAAATCAATATAGAATCACAGAAAACAAGTTAAGAAATAAAATTAAAATTGCAATACTTTAGAAACATCAAACTCTGAGCAATAAAATTCACTATAAATGATTTAACTGATATTTTAATCTCCAAGGGCTAAAATAAACCATTATTCTAAATACACACGTGTAGGTATTAATATACAGATTTCTCATAGTTATCATTTATTTGTTTGCAATAAGCCTAATCAAATCGAAAACTAGCAACTGTAGATTAAAAATATTTAAATCGATTTATTATTAAAGGTATAGTCATGTATTGATCATATTATTTATTTTAGCAAATTACTATGTTCACTAATGAATGTAAAACTTCTGCAAAACAGTTTTCCTCATTAGAATTTACATGAAAACAGCTGCATTAATAACCATATCAATATAACAAAAGTTCGATGTTTCTGTACCATAACCACAATAAATATCTTATAAACTATAATGTTCTTTGTAAATGAAAGATAAAATGATAAGTAATTTTTTCCTAATCAATATTATATTTTGAGTCAAAATAATGTTTTTATACAAAAAAAAAAAAAAAATGTAAAAATTATATATGAAGAGGAAAATTTTATAAGGTGATAATTATTAGTCGTAATCTTACGATTTATCCATTACACTCTTCTTAATAACATATATATATATATCTTAATTTCGGTATAAAAATAGAACTTTA